GTCAAAATAATAATTTACGTTATTGGTTTACAACTCTGAGGATGTGACCTGCAGACAAAGAATGGAAGAATTTTGTTCCCCTACCGAAATGCAAGTGTTCATCAACCAAGACAAAGCCAAAGTCCAGAGAGGTCGGAGAAAGGTTTGAATGTGAGAGAAAACCAAGAAAAGTCTCAGTGTTGACGGCATTTCTATGTTCCAAAATGGGAGCAATCAAACACTCATCACCTAGGAAAGGTCGTTATCTCCAGGGGCTGCTGTGAGGACTGGAGAATTCTGTATGCAAATGGTTAACACGTGGTAGGACCCTGCTAACTGTGGTGTTGATAGCAAACAGGGAGGCAGGCCAGTAGTACAAGGAGAGCACCCCATGAGCTAAGAAGGGAGAACCTCAGCTTTGTGGTTTCTCTGTGAACCACCTCTCCTTTAGACACTGTCACTGCTCAGAGAGCAGGCGGTGACACAAGGGCAAAGACGGTGTGTTCTGTGCACACAAAACATCAGAATGATGGACCTGGCCTGTGAGTGCTGCCAGCATCCCCATCTCATAGCCCAGGAAATTGAATCTCTGAGATGCTGCCCAAATCACCTAGGAGAAGTCAGGGGTGGCTTAGCCAGGGGTGCAGCCAGAAGCTGTGACTGCTAATGCCATTGCCTGCCACTGGGCCAAGTGGCACAATGAATCTGCAACATTAGGTGAGTTCTTGGCATAGGCTGTGTGCACATTTCTAATGAATAGGCTCCTAGGTTTAATTAAGGGGAAAAAAGATTAATTGTTTCTCCCAACAGTGGCAAATTATTTACATTGCATTTGTGTTGATGGCTAATAAAAGAGCGAAGGAGTGTGGGGACAGCCCAGGGTAGCTGTAATTCTTCCAGAGTCTGTAATGAAGCACTGGCCTGCATGCCAAATTGTGGGAATGGATGAGCCTGCTGCCCTGTGTGCACCTGCAGTGGGCAGAGCTACTCTCCACCCTGGACATGATTCAATCAGCAGAAATGGATCTCGGGGGCCAAGACCCAAGAATAGTGTGGCGTATGTCCATGCCCCACTACAGTGCCTCTTAGTTTCTGATTGCTCTGCAGTGGATGCAAAGAAGTAAAATAGCAGCCCAAATCCTGGGACGGTTCTTCATTGACAGTTGAAAAAACTTGGGGTGCAAAAGAGATAGAAGGCACTGCAGCAGAACTACTCTCATTTCTATAAGCTCTTGCTTTACCATGGCCACTGAAAATTGTGTAATCAAAGACAGCATCATGTAGCACATACACGAAGTCTTCAGAATGTTCATGGAACGTGCATATTGTGAAAAACGCATGTGTGAATGTCAAAAAAATTTTGCACCATAATAAACTTAGCTTTGAATTCCATTTTCCATGAACTTTTTAAAGTACTTTCATGTACTTTATGTTGGTATGTTGGTTTGCATATGCCTTTTGTCTATTATAAAGTATGAAAGCGTTCTCTGTTTTCTCATTTATGCATTATGCCTGTGTGATCATGTTGGGGAAAGTCACAACTGTAGTAGCTTCTCCATCATCTTTGTAACGGTCACAGCGACATCGCAGGTTGCAGTGGGGAGCATTAAGAGTGTGACCACACCCTTGGAACTGTGAAAGAGGACGAGTTGGGGACAACTGTGTTTACCCTAGGGCCCCCTGTGCCCTGTGATTTTATTTTAAAAGTGCTTCATTGGCACTCAGACTTCTGTGAGAGGTATGTAGGGAATTAAGAGAAACTAAGCAGCTTACAGTTGAGTCATCAAATGAATGCTTTAGAAAAATCACTTTTTTACAAAGATTTATGTATTTGAAAGGCAGAGTTACAGAGATTGAGGTGGGGAGGCAAGGAATGAGGGATGGGGAAGGGGGAGGGGAGAGGATGGCAGACCACAATGGCCAGGGCTAGGCCAGGCTGAAGATAGGAGCCAGGAGCTTCTTGAGGGTCTCCCCTGTGGGTGCAGGGATCCAAGCACTTGGGCCATCTTCCACTGCATTCCCACGTGCATTAGCAGGGAGCTGGATTGAAGTGGAGCAACTGGTAATTGAACCAGCACCCATAAGGGATGCTGTCGACACAGTCTGTTTTTTCCCAGTACGTCACAGCATCGACCCCATAAAGATCACTCTTGATCCTGGTGTGGAGGGTGGGCTTAAGGGATTTTTCTACCGGGACACCCATCATGACGTCACTGCAACGCTGCCAATAGGAGTCAGCTGGGTCAAAATCAGATCAGATGAGACATACCAAAGAGACAGAATGGATAAAAACGTGATGTTTACCAGATAAAGCTCTGTCATAGGAACGTTAGACTAAATCCTGGTGCAAAGTCCTGCTTGAACCCTCTACCCTCTGGTACTGCCCGTTGACTGTAAGTGTATTGTACTCATTGGCTAGTGCTGCCATTGTGAAGTGCCACCAACTGGGTATCTGAGAAGAGCGATGCCATTATACTTCTAGAGGCCCGAAGTCGGAAGTCTCAGTGTTGGCAGGACCGGGCTCCCTCTGCTCCCTCGTGCCCCGGAAGCACCTGCACCACGCCCCTCCTCTAAATTCTGTCAGTTCCTTGGCTCAGGGCAGCACTCCAGCCTTGTGATATTCTCCCCGTGTGCATGTCAGTATCACAGTTTCTCCTTTTTATGAAAACATGATTCATATTGGATGAGGGCTCATCCAAGTGGCCTCATTTTAATCTTACCTCTACGAAGTCCCCACAGGTACAGTCACATTCTGAGGCACCAGGGGTTAGGATTCAACCTATCATTTTGGATGGGGTACCATCCAACCATGACAAACATTTAGTGAATACTTGAAGTATATTGATTGTTCATTCGGTAATATATCATCCAGCTGATCAAATTACTGAAGGGCAACTTAGGTTGCTAGGTTAGACTGTTGAGATAGACATCATCTTTAAACGACCAGAGAATATCCAAATGTCTGTTGTTGGGTACTGGTACTCATACATATGTGTGTGCACATGATGAACATTCTTAATCAGAAAGTCCCACACCCAGAATGCTCTAAAATCTGAAATTTCTTGAGCACTCACATAATATAACAATGGGGAAATTCTGCACCTGACCTCATGAGGTAAGCTGAGGTCAAAATACAGGTGGTACTAAAACTATGCATAAGATTACCTTCAGCCTAGGTGAATAAGGTATATGTGAAATATAGGAGCCAATCCTGTGGCATGGGGGGGGGGTGGGTAAGACTCAGCCTGTAGCGCCAATAACCCATATGAGTGCTGGTTCGTGTCCTGGCTGCCTCTCTTCTGATCTAGCGCTCTGCTAATGGTCTCGGAAAGCAGTGGAAGATGGCCCAAGTGCCCGGACCTCTGCACCCACGTGGGAGACCTGGAAGAAGCTCCTGATTTTGGATCAGCCCAGCTCTGGCTGTTGCAGCCATTTGGAGAGTGAACCAGCAGATGGAAGACCTTTCTCTCTGTCTCTCCCTCTCTTTATAACTCTGCCTCTTCAGGCCGGCGCCGCGGCTCACTAGGCTAATCCTCCGCCTAGCGGCGCCGGCACACCGGGTTCTAGTCCCGGTCAGGGCGCCGGATTCTGTCCCGGTTGCCCCTCTTCCAGGCCAGCCCTCTGCTGTGGCCCGGGAGTGCAGTGGAGGATGGCCCAGGTGCTTGGGCCCTGCACCCCATGGGAGGCCAGGAAAAGCACCTGGCTCCTGGCTCCTGCCATCGGATCAGCGCGGTGCGCCGGCCACATCGCGCTGGCCGCGGCGGCCATTGGAGGGTGAACCAACGGCAAAGGAAGACCTTTCTCTCTGTCTCTCTCTCCCACTGTCCACTCTGCCTGTCAAAAAAAAAAAAAAATAAAAATAAAAAAAAAATAAAAAAAAATAAAAATATAACTCTGCCTCTAAAATAAATAATGAATCTTGACGTGAATGGAATGGGAGAGGGAACGGGAGATGGGAGGGGTGCAGGTGGGAGGGAAGTTATGGGGGGGGGGAAACCATTGTAATCCATAAACTGTACATTGGAAATTTATATTTACTAAAAGTTAAAAAAAGACAAAAACAAAAACAAATTTTAAAAAATGAATCTAGTGTTTAGACATGAGTCTCATCCCCAAGATATCTCATTATGTATAGGCAAATCAATATTCCAGATTCCAAAGAATCTGAAATCTGAAACACTTCTGACCTCAACCATTTTGAATACGGAAATAGTCCACCTGTAACCATTCTCAATGATGGACCAGATTAGGTTGCTGTCAGAAATTGCAGTACAAAGTCATAATCTGCTTGTTTTTTCATTGATAATGCGCATTGAAACATCTATTAATAAGGGATAGCATTTGCAAATTAAAGTTTTAATCAATTCTTCCCTCCCTTTTAAAAAATTTTATTTATTTTGGAAGAGTTACAGAGGGCAAAGGGGAGACAGAGAAATCTTTAATCTGCTGGTTCACTCCCCAGATGGCCACAACAGCTAGGCCAGGGGCAGGCCAAAGTCTAAGCCCAGAGCTTCTTCTGGGACTCTTCCACAGGTTCAAGGGCCCATGCACTTGGACCATCTTCTGCTGCTTTACCCAGGCCATTAGCAGGGAGCGGGATCTGAAGTGGAGCAGCCGGGACACGAACCAACGCCCATATGGGATGACCACATCCCAGGCAACTTGCTTTACCTGCTACACCACAATGCCAGCCCCTAAATCAATTCTTAATAATCTGTACAGGGCATCTAGAGGTAGGAATGATGGGATCTGGGTCAGGTAAAAGGCCCATGGCCTTAGGGACAAAAAACCGTGCTTGAATCTCAGTGCTGCCTCTCCTCTCCTGCGAGCCCTGGATGAGCTGTTGAACTGCGCTCTCTGGAACTTTGTGGGTACAAAATCGGGCTAAGATGCCTGATATTCCTCTTAAGATTGTTGGATGGAAGTCTAGAACTGGGAAAATATATGCTGTGAATATTATTGTGGATTAGTTATGCAAACAATGACCTTTGTTTTGTTTTTTTTTCCTCATCGTTTCCCAGTCAACAAGCACAAGCCATGGATTGAGACCTCCTATCACGGGGTCATAACTGAGAACAACGACACAGTCATTTTGGACCCACCCCTGGTAGCCCTGGATAAAGACGCACCGGTTCCTTTTGCAGGTAAGATGCTGGCTTGGGAAGGCTGGGCTTGCGTCGCTTTGGAGAAGTGTTGAGAAAACGCTGTCACCTCTTGCGTCTCCTGGCTGAGTTGTAGAGTTAAAGTTGTGTTCTTTGCTTATTTCTGGTGGATTTTGAAGCTCCTTGTATGTTGCCTCTCTTCTTTCCAGAGGAGTCATAAATTCCTAGAGTAACCCGTGGCATTGGAGAAGTTAGGCTGATAAAGTCATTAGGGGATTTTTCTCCCCAATAGAGATGAGTCCTGCCTCACCTCTCACATTTGATGGTTAGATAGAGACTACCTATCTTGGCTGGTAGATTGGCAAGAGAAAGGGGAAAGAACAAGGGATCAGAAATACTTGCTGAGTGGTCCTGCCTAGGAGCCTCAAAGTAGCTGTGGCTTTTGAAGGTGGAATCGCAACACCGAGCCGCTTTGCCTTCTGTGCTAGAGAGCCTTCTCACTGCCATTGAGACCGCCACTACTTCCTGCTCTGACCTCTTGCCAGCAGCAGCCCAGGAGGAGCGTGAGAAGTGGATGGCTATGTCGCAGGTTTCCCTGGCTTTTGGCAAAGAGAAGAGGATGGGTGACGGCAGGGGGAGGAGTGATGGACAAAGAATTTCTGAAGATGCATGCATCATGAGTAATATTGTTAACATTTTATAACTGTCAGGAGAAAGACAGGAAATTTAATGAAGGTTTTCGAGATTTCTAGAAGATTGCTTTATGATAGATGGGTGCCAGGCAGAGGTTTTCACCATGATGAAGTCTATTTTTCCTGACAGTTTGTCTGCTACATTATGAGCTACTTGGGCAGGAAAAAAATTGGCTGTTTTGCACTTTTAAAAGATAAGTTCTGTGTAGGCTTTTTTTTCCCATTATGAAATAAAATAAAGACTGACAGGTTGGTTCAATGGGGGAAATTCAATGCTACAAGACCCATGAGCATTCTTGCAGAGCGTGGAGGTGGGAGGTACTCTTGATCTCAGCAGACAGATTCATCCTGATTCTATGTGGAATGGTATCCACCAAGGGCACCTCACTGTGGCTTCCGAGATGTTTAGAGTTGGGGCGTTTCCATACATCTTTTGACATCACCAGAAGTCCCAGTGACTCTGTGGAAATGTGATGTCCATGCTGTCTTTTCCATACAAGATGACTTACCATCCCCAAACCTTGTTTGCTGGCCTAGGATTCTGCCAGCTCAGTCCCTTCTTGGGAATATGATCATTAATATGATATTGAGGTTAATCAGTAATGCTAAGCAAGCCTTGGGAATGTCATTTTAAAACAAATATTAGCAAAACTGTTTAGACCTTAGAAAGGTCTGGCTTGGTATATACTATGCTTAAAAATATACAACCTTTAGAAACTGAGATATTTGGTATAAAAATCCAGGATCTGGTTTATCTTAATGAATGAGATCTGATTTATGAAGCTGAGCTGCGGCTTTGCTCTTGGGCCTGACTGTGCACTCCTGGCTCCTCTCACTGCCCCTGTGAGGAGCTGCTGCTACTCATCTTTCCATCTCCATGCACAACTCCTCTTTCAAACCTAACGGAGGAAACCAATGGCAAATGGGGTGTGAACACACGTGGTTAAGTCACGTAGATGTGATCAGACTAACAGTTGAAAAGTTGAGGCTGTGGTACCCCGTGTGTGCCTTGGATGCAGGCCTGTTCTCATCTCGGGTGGACCAGAGATACTGAAGTTGTGGAACAAGCTGTTCTACAGGAAAGTCATGAGCTCTCTATGTACGAATCAGGACAGAACAACACCTTTCGAGCAGATCTGAAAGTTGAAAGCTTGCATTCACAAAAGATTGTTTACTTTTCTTGGTTGAAGGGCTGCAGCCCAATTAAAAGTTTCCTCTGAGGAGTCACTAAAAAAAGTTCCTTAAATCATAAATCCACCAGATGCCTTTAAACTCGAATTTGTTGTGTCCATTGGCTGTGCGCACAGGCATATCTTGAAAGTAAGGTTTACTTCTGAACCAAGCCCTGAATGGTTATTTCTAACTGAAGACAATTTCTGTATTCCTATTGTTTGCAGCTGCCTTAAACAAAATCTAGCTTAATGCATCAAAATATAATCTTGCAAGCTCTGAAGAGTAAAAACTGAAGAGTGGTCAAAGCTATTTTTCTTGGTGTTATTTATGACTTGCTCTAAGACAGGACATAGGCAGTGGCCATCCATCCATGCTGCAGGCATCTATTTTAAAGCATTTATCTTAAAAAGAAAATACTGAAGATTTATTTCAGATCCCTATCATTCTCATAAAATTGAAAAATTCGTATCTGCCAGCTCCATCACTCCAAGTCAACTGAGGCTTTTACCCCTCCCCCCCATCAATGGCTCCTGAGTCATGGGTTAGTTTCCTCACCCTTTTCCCAGGGGTCTTTCTTTCCAATCTAGTCACTGAGGTGTGCTGTACGCTTTGTAAAAGATAGTTCTCTGCATATCACTTTTGCTCTGTCTCACTCCTCTATTTTTTGAAAAATATTTTTTAGGATAAACTTTCTCTCTAGAAAATCTTCTAACGTATCCCTTGGAATTATATATTATCCCATGAGATTTTCATTTAAATAATGATCATGATTACATCTGTATATATATGCACAATCTAGGGATAGAAAATAACTTGTATACCTCCTGATTATGACAGTAATAAACATTGTGCATAAAATGTGGAAAATATAGCAAAGGACAAAACATGAATTATATGTTTCCCTACCCCCAGAAAGGGCCTCTTCTACCATTTATTGTTTCCTTTTAGTTATTTTTCCTACTCTTTTTTTCAAGATTTATGATCACACCCCTTATTGATATTAATGTTATTAAATTAAATTATATAGCATGATGAGATGAATATATAAATGATCTATTACATTAATTAACATATTAAGATTGATATTTAATTTATTACTCCCACTCATCTAATGAAAAGTTACCATTTGTTTAAATATTCTACAAGAGATTCAATCACTGCCTATTTATGAATATTTTATAGTTGACCATTCTTTTACTGACGAACAATTTGCTTTCCATTTTTTGTTAGACTACATCTCCGCATTTCAGGTTCTGTTTTTCTGATGGACTTCCAGAATTGGAATTAACTGGTCAGGAAGTTGAAAGTTCCTGAAACGTGTGACATTGCTTTCCTGGAAAGTTGCGCGAGTTACATTCAGCCCACACCACGGGAGCCTGTCATTGCCTGGCCCTCTCTGGCTTATTTTGCTGGTGTGATTTAGAGACAATGTGGTGGACTAGCTGGTGACGGCTGCCTTCCTGTCATCATCTGCAAACACCTAAGCTTTCTCGGGTTCTTGCTTTGATCCAGGATAAGGAATGTCTGTGATGCAAGTTGCAATGGCTCAAGAGGTAGTGAAATTTTAGTAAATGTGAGTTTTGTTCTCCAGACCTTCCTCCCTGCCCATTTCCCACAGGAGGTAAGTGACTCCCATAGACGCTAGGCATCTTCCCTGTATCCCAGAGCCGGCTGGCACAGGCTGGGACGGGACCCGGGGCTTCTCACTGCTTGCTCTGAGCTCCCGTTCCCTAGGACGTGCCCACTGATCCCTGCCTCACCTGCCAGGGAAATCTGCTGACTCGGTGAATGAAACCTCCTCAGCCTTCAGTCAAGTCCATTAGACTTGACTGTGTCCTTAGTCCGGTCTCTGAGCTCTGTAGACTTGACCTTCTTAAAAGAATCAGACGTGGAAAAAAAATCCTTGAGTAATAATGAAAATCCTGTCTCCTGCATGGCAAAAAATGATAATGAAAGCAAGCTGGGCACACCGTGAACTTATTAATTTCTACATGTGCCCCACTGAGGCCTGTTAGGAAACTGTGGAGACTTTCACATTTGAAGGGAATTAGACTGCCTTTCGGAGATAATAGAATTGCTCATTTGTCTCCATTGGGCCAGTCTGGACTTGTCTTTTATAAGGACAAGGCTGCAGAGAATTATCAGGCATAATTGGCTGGCTTCTCAGGCTGGGTGGCTCTCTGAAGACTGCCCACAAAATTGTCAGGGACATGATTTGGCCTGGGTTGATGGGCTGCTCGCGGTGCTGGGTGCAGCAGAAGACGCCTTTTCCTGCAGGGCTAGCACAGTTAGTTCCCCTGTCCTGCTCAGTGTCTGCCCATCCACCTGCTTCCTTGTCTTTGCACCAGCCCAGGGGCCTCGTTCATGCCTCCGCCCCTTCAGTGCCTCATGGTTGAGACCTTCCCAGGATTTTCACACAGTGGTGTTGTCTTCTGGTGAAAAAGGAAGACAGAGATTTTAACAGTCACAGGCTTTTTCAAAAATATTGCTTTAAAACAACAGATGGCCTTGCATGTTTTTGTTATGTGCAGTATGATGTTTTGAAGTACATATACATCTTGGAACAGTTAAATCATTTCGTGGTGATCTTGCCCAACATCCATTCACTCTAGATTTTTCGAGAATATGTCATCATCCCCCATAGTCACCTCCCTGCCTGGCATATCTCCTGACAGGTACTCCCCACCCAAGCATGATTGTGCATCCTCTGACGTCATCTCCCCTCCCCCCACCTCCCTAACTGCCTCCTCCCTGGGACCCACTGCCATGCTCTCTACTTCTATGAGATCAGCTTGGTTTTTTAATCCTCAATATGGGCAAGATTATGTGATATTTGCCTCGTCTCCTGGCTCATTTCATTTACCAGACACCTGGCTTGACCTTCCGGCTTGGCCATTCCCTACCTGGGTCAGTGAACTCCTCAGGGGGCACTTTCCTCATCCTGAAAATGGGAGTGATCATAGTAGTACCCCTGAGTTATTATGTGGATAAGTAGGATATAATGCAAAGTGCCTAGAGCCCTCTCTGGAAGCCAATAGGTGACCAATAGATCACAGTTCTTTTTTAAAAAATATTTTTACTTATTCAAAAGGCTGGGTCACAGAGAGGGGACAGAGAGGAAAAGAGATCTTCCATCTACTAGTTCATTCCTTAAGAGCCCTCAACAGCCGGTGATGG